GGCCACCCGCATGATCCGGGGACAACAGGGCAGACCCTACAATGAAAGACTGCGGGACCTAAACCTGTTCAGCCTTCACAAGAGAAGGCTGAGGGGGGACCTGGTGACTGTCTATAAACTCACTAGGGGGGACCAGAAGGGTTTGGGAGAGACACTGTTTCCCCTAGCACCCCCTGGCATAACAAGGAATAATAGACACAAGTTATCGGAGAGTAGGTTTAGATTAGACATCCACAAGAACTACTTCACAGTTAGGGCGGCTAGGAGCTGGAACCAACTTCCAAGGAAAGTAGTGTTGGCTCCTACCCTGGGGGTCTTTAAGAAAAGGCTTGATGCCTACCTGGCTGGAGTCATTTGAGTCCAGTTTTTCTCCCACCCAGGCAGGGGGTCGGACTTGAAGATCTACAAGGTCCCTTCTGACCCTACTTCTATGATTCTATGATTCTTTAGGTAATTTATCCTAGGCAGTTAGGGCCTACATGGGTATGAGGGATGGAGGCAGAAAAACAGCAGCACAGGAGATGGTAAGTTTTGCCAGTTTGCCATTAAGATGCTGAGTCTTTGAGAGGATTTCAGTTTTATGTACCCTAGAAAGTTACCACCTTCAAGTTCACCAACAAAATGTTCTTTCTGAGCAGAACTGCCTCGTCTCTTCAAACTTTTTTCCTCATCAATCTAATGGTTTCTGGAACCTAACTGGGCTTTTTTTTTATTCTTTTCTTTAGACACCCCAGAAAAACAACAACTTGAGAAAACTTCCTCTTAACTCCATATTGAAAGTATCTAGCCCGATAAGGACTTCAGTCTCCAGCCTCAGAGCTATTTACTGTGCCCATGATATAACTGCTATGCTGTAAGGAGGAAATACCTTCCAGTAAACACCTAATTAATATTAATTGGATACTAGGATGAGACCTATCTTCCTCTGATTAGTCTCAGTGGATTTGATTTGAAGATTTAATTAGTTTGAGGAGACCTGATTTTTGTGACTTTACTCAGGGCTTATTTTCTGTTCATGAACAGTTCCAGCCAGACTTACATCAGCTACTGGGATGAGTGTGTCAGCAAGGTGGCCAATCCGATTCTTTCTGTACAACCAGGACATCAGCAGTATCCCCAGAGCCACGTCAGCGAGGAGAGAAACAAAGATGTTGGCTTTCCTGTGTTCCAGATAATGAGAAACAAAGAGCAGAGGAAGAAGACTGCTTACTGTTTCAGTAACAACAATCACCAGCTAAATTTACATAGCACCTTTCAGCAATGAAGGATACCAGGGCACTTTACCAAAGGTATAGGGAGGGATTTGATTGCTGATATGTTACTGCTATGCTGCAGTCTTTGATCAAATGCAGCAGTCTTTCTGAGTCAACAGTACTGAAAAATAATAGTAATAGTCTTTGTGTGGGTGTGTGTGTGGTGTCCATGTGTGGAAAACTGGAATGACATTATGGGAGGATGAGATAGGCAGAATGTAAGCATTTAACTTGTGATGTAATGCTTTCACTTGGAGCAGTTATATAGATTGGAGGTCTTTCCAAAAGATATGCTTTCATTTAACTGCTTATACTTTGGTTAAATATTTTTTACCTACAAAATAAGATAAACTAAACTCCCCCTCATTGCAGGAATTTCTGAATAAAATTCCATGGCCTGGCTTGGGCAGAAAAATCACACTATACAATGAGAATATTACTTTTGGCCTTAAAATCTACTACTGTATTTTACTGTCTATAGATTGACACAGTATATGAGTTGATCCCATTTTTCTGATCCAAAAAGTTAGGAATTTCGTAGATCCAGTGTATAAGTCAACCTAACTTTTTGGATCAGAAATATGGGGTTGACTTGTACTGGTGCCTGTGCACTCTCACTGCAGACCGGGGACTAGCAGGGTGGACACATGCCACAGAGCTGCTCATAGGGGATGGGGCCGGGCTTGGCACTCAGCTGATGTGGCCCCATCCCCTGCAAGCAGCGCTGCCTGGGCTGCGACAGCTGAACGCAGAGCCCAGAACTGCTCACAAGGGACAGTGATGCAGTGTGTAAGTCAAGGCTGAATTTTAAGAGTTAAAAACTGGGCTTCAAAACTTGACTTAATAAACTTTGAAATATGGTAATCTATTTTTCAGTATTCCCTGAAAGCCCATTACTGTAGAATTTGAAAGTCCCACTTACTAGGATTTGCAAAGCGCTGCCCATAGGTGATTCACACTCTATCTCTGAAATCTTTGCCTTTCCTTCCTGTACTCAATGTGGGGTGGGTTTTGTGTGTACATATTTTTCTCTGTTGCTTTGATTGTAGCTCCCACTGTGAAAATTCCTCATCTTTAGTCGCTTCAGGAAGGATCCTCCAAAAGACTGGAGTAAGGGAGTAGCTTCCTACCCTTGTGGAACCTGTTCTAAGACCTCAGTTTTGTTTCTCATCTGATTGCTTTCACAATGATTGAATAAAAGGACCTACAGAACTAGCTATAGTCAGGTAGAGTATATGAAGGTGCTGTACAAGCTTTCCTTGTGCATCTCTGTCAGCATATCCCAATCCAGTTTCCTAAGGTTATGTTTCCACCACCTCTGACCACGCTAGGAAGCCCTGCCATGGAAATGCCCCATCTACTAATTCCTAGTCTGCATCTGCTGAAAGAATGTAATGTCACTGCTTTAAGAGCGATGCACATGGGCCAATAAGCACACTTGAGACTGATAATGGCGTTAGACATCAATAAGGGTGCACCTAACAGTGGTCATATTATCTCTTTTCAGCATTTGGAGTGGAAGGAATGGCAGAAAGGGGCCAGGGAGAGTTTTTGTGGTGGTGCTCCCTTGCACGGTTCCCAGCAGAGTAATTCAGGGAGCATAAGTATGATGAGAAGGGATCAGGATGATATTAGAATCAAAATGATGAGAGAAAAACTCTTATCTCTTCCTCGACCAAAAATATTCCTGTACAACTATATGATCACTGTAAAACTAGATGTCTATCTCATAAAAACAGACTTAGGACCAGATCCTATTTAATTTTTCAAGCATATAAGTGGACTTAAGTGTCTAAGTGCAATTCTATTCAACTCTGTTCAAGGTATTGAAGATCCATTAATGCATCTACTCTTGTAAAACACCATCGTCTGACCCTTAATACTGAGTCACAAAAAAAACCAGTGCGGAGGATGAGGAAACACACACCTTTTCATTTAACAGTTTTTCAGGGACTTGATCTGGGTGGAATGGGTTTTTATTTAAGCATCTAAATCTGCTTATGGTACCTAATCAATGGAATAGAATCTGGCCCTTAGTATCAGAAAAACAAATAGATTACAACCACCCTATGGTACCACAGCCAGGGGAGGGAGAGTTTCTTAGCAGCTAGAGCAGAAATTGTTTGGTTCACAGATGATGAAGGCTCCAGCAGGAGACAGAGGTCACAAACTCTGTGAGCTGTCAGAGTAGGTGTGTGTGTATATATATATATATATATATATATATATGTATGTGCACAGCATACCTCATTAGCTGTGGCTGGTTTTGAGCCTTCCTGTTACTGCTGATGACCTGAAGGTGCTCTAACCGGTGCCCCAATTGTTCGCAAGTTGAGAGTTTACTCCATATGAAAGATAAAGGCCAAAACTTCAGCACTCTGCAAAAAAACAAGGGGAATGAATCTCTCCTGGTTAATTTTGGCTTTGAAGCACATGGTATGATATTCAGGCAACTTCCCGTGCAAGATGTTTCAGGTGATGGCAAGATTCTGTACACATACAAATAATACGAATGCAGACAAAATGTAACAAATTTTAGAGCTAAATTCCCTTTAAGTATTAAAAAGACAGGGAATGTGGAATGAAAGTGGCCTTTCTAAAAAAAGATATTCAAACTGTGTCCCCATACAGATGCCAGTCTCACAGCTTCCTGTGTGTACCTCTAGAGCAGTATATCAAACTTATTCTCCAGAAAGAAAGAAATCCCATTTTTAACTATGGTCTATAAGTCAGGGTATTCAGTCAGTCCACAACAAGTCTTCTATTCATGTCCATTAGAGGTCTGTACAGATATCAATGCTGCAACATGGTTTTTGTGTCGTAATTAAAATTTTAACCTGATTTTTGCCCCATTCAGTTTCTGAATTATAGTAAGAAATGGGCACCCAACTCTTTTAGATTCCTTTGAAAATCCAAGTCTTAACTCTTGTTGCTTTCAATATGTGTCTGCCTGTATCACACAGCTTCATTCAATCAGAAAAAATGATCTCTTTTACGATCACTGAAATTTCTGTCCTTTATTTCTCTTCCTTCCTCTTCATGCATACATGTGTATCTCCTCTTTTCTTTCCTCCAGATCAAACCTTAACACCCTGCCTAGGGTCTTCACACTTTCATCCATAAAAATGGCCTGCAGTAAGTAGATAACTGAAGTAGTAAGCAGACATTTTAGAATTCAGTGAATTTGCAAGTTAACATCTAAACGAGTTCATGGGGTGAGGGAGTTCACACCTCTCAGAGCAACTGGGTCTTTCTGCAGTCTCAGGAATGCCACACTGCATCAACTTATGTTCAACTGACCTTCTGGAAGGTTCTTCTTGTCACCATTCTTTGTCTTGCAGCTAATAAAAGAAGACTACAAGGGGGCACTTAATGTGGTCTAGGCTGAGGCCAGTGTCAGGAAAAAGAGTATCAGGCCCAAACAGACATAACAGGTGAAGTGCTTCAGACAATGAGCATACAGATATTCATGGCCAAAGAAGCACTTAAAAATGATCCTCAAAAAAAATTAAAATAAAAAAGAAAGAGAAACATCTTTTCTCTTCCTGCAACAAGATCTTCCTGAAACATCTGTACACTCCATGGAGGAGGGCTTGCTCCTCTGGCATCCTGTAGTTGCTACATTTTGTAGCAAAAAACCCCCACTCTCCTAACCCCTGGTGGGAGAGCAGGAAACCCTTCATTCTTTTCAGATTTTAGTCCTCAAGGCTAGGGACAGAAGTTACACATAAATGAGTTTAAGTCATCGGAAACTGGTTTAAACTTGTAACAGAACAGAATTTTCATGCACATAAACCAGTTTCAAAATGGCTGAAACTGGTTTCAGATAAGTATGATATTACATTCAACCAAGTTTAACTTCTGTCCCAGGCTCCTTCCTGGTTCAAGTTAAAACAATCCCCCAGCATCCCAGCATGCTTTCCAGCCCTGGGCTGGGCTGGGCTGTGCTGTCTACTCCGACAGAGAAGGGTTTGGGGGGTGGGGACGGAGGGACTGCACTGCCCCCCACCCCCTGACAAACCCAAGCTGGGGTCTGGGGCCAAGGAGTGGGGTTAAACTTTCCTTCCCCCAAGTACAGAGCTGCTCTGCTAAAAACTTACTGCTGGCTGTGACTGTACACTATAAATCCCAGAGGCACCTGGAAGCAGGAAGAGGAAGTGATAAACAACTCTGCAGAGTCCAGCTGCTGTGATTCTGGACTGGAAATCCCACAGACCTTGGGGGCAGCATGAAGAGGAAACGAACACACAGCCCATGCTGGCTACCTACTAGAGAGCTGTGCTGTAGCACCCCCCCAGCTTCTGGCCTGAGCCACTGCAGACATGTGGCTGCACTTCCTGAATCAAAAGTGTGTGTCTGTCCAGTTGTTTCAAAGCTTAATCTCTGCATTTTAGACTAACCTGCAAAGACTGAATCAATTCAGCCTTGGGCTTTTTGACTGTCTGTGCTTAGCTTAAGACCAGAGCCTAGTGAAAACAATGGCTGAAAAGCATGCAGAGATGGCTGTTCCCCAGCTAAGGAGCAGGAGGGAAGGATTATTTGCCTGTCATTCAGGTTCCAGAGGGTCCCAAGGATAGCTGAATGGACAGAAGATGGATGACTGGCTGTCTACCCAACCCTTCCCCCACCGCTTCCCTTGATAAGGGGAAGCAGAGCACTGTGGGATGCCAGAGAACCAAGCAACTCCCTGTTGGGCCTCATGGCTGAAGACTATCACTGCTGCATGCCATTGTGGCAACTCTGAAGTCCTGCTCCAGCTGGGGGCATGGTTAGGGTAGCATATCTGTATAACACTGAGGCTCCCTGAGTTGGAAGCACCATAAATTGGAGTGGGATTCAGAGTGCTTCAAATGCATGTCTATCCATAGCTTTAGCAGTATAATTTGTAACATACTATACTTGGGATTCTGTGAGGACTAAACTTAGACCCCAACATAAGCAGTATGACTCCTTTACTGAAGTCAACAGAACTTTCCCTATTAAGGGCAAGGGGACTGCTTCATTTATACCTGCTTCTTACTTATCTCATGGAACACTCTGCTCATCTCTTCCTAGTCTCTTGCCATGCTTATGTCAGTTTCACTTAGTTTGCATACACACAACATCTATGCAAATTATTCTACTTTGCTCTTGAATTTACACTATCATTTATGTTTCTTTGGATGAATCTGATATCTTTTATTAGACCAACTTAAATAGCTGGAAAAAAAATTTCTAGCAAGCTTTCAGATTTAAAAACCCTTTGTCAGTCTGAGGAAGCCTCTGCAGTTGGTGTGTTATTTTCCTGGATGGAATGAATAGTAAAGAAGCCAGAGGCTTGGGATGGTATGCATGCAAGACAGGCAGTCAGTGAAGATGTAAACTGAGAAGTCAGTGGGTGAGAGACAGGCTGGGTGGGGGGCAGAAAGGGGATGAATGTAGCAGTTAAACAATGGAGAGGTACCTGGGGAGTCAGATGGCAGGCAGGTTATAATGTATCATAAATCCAATATATATATTTAGTCTATGATTTTTTGTATCCAGGAGGTTTATGAAGTGAAGTTCATAGGCTCGTCTTTGAGAAGTGTTCTGTAAATTCCCTTTGAGGATTAGAACTGAGAGATTGGAG